TTTCCCTCAGGGCTGACTTAATTTACTGCTACGCTTGTCTCGTTTCCTCAGGGCCAACTTAATTCCCTGTTATGCATTTCTCTTTCTCTCAGGGCTGACTTTCTCAGCAGCTGGGCAGAGCCATCAGCATCTGTTCTGAGAGTGAGTATAAACTGGCAGTTTTCCCAGTGGAAGTTGGTAAGCAGTGGAGTACCACAGGGCTCAGTACTAGGCCTGGTGCTTTTTAACTTGTTCATTAATGATTTGGAGTTGGGAGTAAGCAGTGAAGTGGCTAAGTTTACGGATGATATGAAGTCGTTCAGGGCAGTGAGAACCAGAGAGGACTGTGAGGAGTCCCAGGGGATCTGTCGAGGCTGGGCAAGTGGGCGTCAATATGGCAAATGAGGTTCAATGTGGGTAAGTGCAAAGTAATGCACATAAGAGCCAAAAATCCTAACTATAAAATATACGTTGATGGGGTCCAAACTGGTGGTAACTGACCAGGAGAGAGATCTTGGAGTCATGGTAGATAACTCCCTGAAGTTGTTGACTCAGTATGTGACTGCAATAAAAAAAGGCAAATGCTGTGCTGGGGATTATTAGGAAGGGGACTGAATACAAATCACCCAGTATCACGCCAGTTTGGTGTAGTGGTTAAGTGTGCGGACTCTAATCTGGGAGAACGGGTTTGATTCCCCACTCCTCCACTTGCACCTGCTGATGTGACCTTGGGTCAGTCACAAGCTCTGCCACAGCTGTCCTTGAAAAAGAGCAGTTTGTGTCAGAGTTCTCTCAGCCCCACCCGCCTCACAGGGTGTCTGTTGTGGGGAGGGGAGGGGAAGGGAAAGGAGTTTGTAAGCCGCTCTGAGACTCCAAGTGAAGGGCGGGGTATAAATCCAATCTCTTCTTCTTCTTCTATTATAATGCCCCTGTATAAATCTATGGTGCAGCCTCATTTGGAATACTGTGTACAGTTCGGGTCATTTCACTGCACCTCAAATAAGATAGCACTGGAAAAGGTAGAGAAAAAGGACGACTAAAATGATTAATGGGGTGAAACACCTTCCCTATGAAAAAAGGTTAAAGAGGTTAGAGTTCTTTCTGGAGACACGATGACTGAGTGGTGAAATGAGGTTTACAAATTTATGCAAGGGATAGAGAAGGTAGAGAAAGGAGTACTTTTTTCTCTTTCTCACAATACAAGAACTCGTGGGTGCTCCATGAAATCAATGAGGAGTAGGCTTAGAACAAAGGAAGTACTTCTTCACCCAAAGAGTAATTAAAATGTGGAATTCACTGCCTCAGGGAGTGGTGACAGCTACAAGCATAGACAGCTTCAAGAAGGGATTGGATAAACATATGGAGCAGAGGTCCATCGGTGGCTATTGGCCACAAGGTATAGATGGAACACTCTGTCTGGGGCAGTGATGCTCTGTCTTCTTGGTGCTTGGGGGGGGGCCAACAGTGGGATGACTTCTGGAGTTCTGGCCCCAGTGGTGGACCTCTTGGTGTCACCTGAGTTTTGGCCACTGGGTAACACAGAGTGTTGGACTGCATAGGCCACCAGCCTGAATTTACATGGCTTCTCTTATGTTCTTATGTCTGGGGCAGTGATGCTCTGTCTTCTTGGTGCTTGGGGGGGGGGGGCAACAGCGGAAGGGCTTCTGGAGTTCTGGCCCCGCTGGTGGACCTCCTGATGGCCCCTGGGTTTTGGCCACTGTGTGATGCGGCGTTTGCAACGGTATAGGTGCCGGTTGCAATCGGTGTACTTACCGGCGTTCACACGTAGAACATCTGCCTTCCGTCCCTAACTGTTGCAAAGCCCTTTAAACCATTGTACTCTGCCACCAGGTCCCCAAGTGGTGGTATCCTGAGTACAACGGTTGTAATTGCTTTACCCCCCATCTGATCGCTCTCCAACGTTGCAGAGCCACTTCCGTTTGGAAGCCTGAAGCTTCCGATTTTCGCCCGCCATTTTGGTTTTTTTAAGGGTTGGCAATATGCGCTTGGGCGAAGCTTCGCCCTGGCGTTCGTTTTTTTAAAGAAAGAAAAGGGCCTTAGTTTAGCGTTTCGGAGGAGTCCGGGACCTCAGGGAGGCTACTTTGCTCTTTAAACGGGGTTTTTTGCGCATGCGTGAAGATCGCCATTCTGTGGATGGCTGCCTATGCGCATGCTCAAACTGAGTTAAAAAACAACAACAACAACGCCGATGCCCGCTGCATGTGGACAGGCATACAACGATGGGCTCTGCAGACAGGAGGTGAGTGTGATCGCGTTTCAGCCGGCATAAACTGCACCAGTTCCAACAGGTACAGTTTATGCCGGCTGAAACGCCCCATCTGAACGCACCCAGAGTGTTGGACTGGATGGGCCATTGGCCTGCTCTAACATGGCTTCTGTTATGTTCCTGTATTTGACAGGCGACTCCAACAAGGCGTCGCCTCTGCGAGAACCCTTCATTCCCCCACTGTCTGTGGTGCGGACCCTCAGCCTTTTGAGGATGCCACTGGGGGCCCGAAACTAGAGGCTGGACATGCCCCCCGCCCATCTTTTACTGAAGAGATGCTGAGCTAAGCAACCGCCCCTCTTTTACTGAAGAGATGCTGAGCGAAGCAACCCCCCCCCCCCGTGAGGGGGAAACAGCTGCAAGGCAAAGAGCCAGATCGAAGCTCCCCCTTAGCCGTGGAGTCTTGTGAGCAAAAGAAATTCTACTTTGTGAGCTCCTGGCATGAAAGCTGTGAGCGAGCGATTGGGCCACTCCGGAAATCAGTTTGCTCCGGAGCCGTCCCTTCCCGAGCCGAGACCAAAAAATGTGTGAGCCGGGGGCTTAAAAACTGTGAGCTGGCTCACACTCACTCGGCTTAGAGGGGACACTGAGCCAGATTCCCAGCCCCGAATCCCTGGCTCCGAATTACACCAAGAGAACGCGTTGAGCCGGCAATGAAGACCGAGCAGGAGGAGCCAGTGGCCCCCAAGCCGGATGCGGGAGCGCAAGGGACTGAAGGGGGAGCCCCCGATGCCTACCGGGGGGGAACGACTGGGCAGCCTCTGAGCTTGATGAAGCCCCAGAGCATTAAGCTGGAACCGGAAGAAGGGCCGTCCTCGCAGTGCTGGGAGACGCAGTGGCGGGAGTTCCCCAAAGCCGTGCAGTCTCCTCGGCCTGGAGAGGGGATTCCACAGCCGCCGGCGTCTGCGTCGTCGGGTAATACCTCCGTAGCCCCTTTTGAGGGAGCGGCTCAAGATGAGGTCGAGACCGGATGCCTGTCGGCCTTTAAGGGAATGGACCGACAAGCCACCAGCAGGCTGGATGCGGCCGGTGAGCAAGCTGCAGAGATCAAGACGGAGGAGGCCGTCGGCTCGGAGGTGAGATGTCGGCGCTTCAGGCAGCTCGGCTACCGGGAGGCCGCGGGGCCGCGGGAGGTTTACGTCCGACTCTGTGAGCTCTGCCGCTGGTGGCTGAGGCCGGAGACGCACACCAAGGAGCAGATGCTGGACCTGGTGGTCCTGGAGCAGTTCCTGGCTGTCCTGCCTTTGGAAATGCGGCGCTGGGTGGAAGGAGGGGGCACCGAGAGCGGCTTCCATGCCGTGGCCCTGGCGGAAGAGTTCCTGCTCAGGCAGCAAGAGGTTGAAAAACCAGCATGGCAGGTGAGAGGCTCTCAGCCAGGCAGTGGTGAGTGGGCCGGAGTTAACAGAGGGTACGGTCTCGGGCAGGGATGCTCTGTCTTCTTGGTTCTTGGGGGGGGGGCAACAGTGGGAGGGCTTCTGGAGTTCCGGCCCTGCTGGTGGACCTTCCCGATGGCACCTGGGTTTTGGCCACTGCGTGACACAGAGGGTTGGCCTGGATGGGCCATTGGCCTGACCCAACATGGCTGCTCTTATGCTCTTACGTCTGGGGCAGGGATGCTCTGTCTTCTTGGTGCTTGGGGGGGGGCAACAGTAGGAGGGCTTCTGGAGTTCCGGCCCTGCTGGTGGACCTTCCCGATGGCACCTGGGTTTTGGCCACTGCGTGACACAGAGGGTTGGCCTGGATGGGCCATTGGCCTGACCCAACATGGCTGCTCTTATGCTCTTACGTCTGGGGCAGGGATGCTCTGTCTTCTTGGTGCTTGGGGGGGGGCAACAGTAGGAGGGCTTCTGGAGTTCCGGCCCTGCTGGTGGACCTTCCCGATGGCACCTGGGTTTTGGCCACTGCGTGACACAGAGGGTTGGCCTGGATGGGCCATTGGCCTGACCCAACATGGCTGCTCTTATGCTCTTACGTCTGGGGCAGGGATGCTTCCCAATGGCACCTGGGTTTTGGCCACTGTGTGACACAGAGTGTTGGACTCGATGGGCTATTGGCCTGAACCAACATGGCTTCAGTTACATTCTCGTGTTCTGACCTCTTAGCTTGTAGAGTAGAACATAATTCTTGCTTGACTTATTCAGCTACTTGGGAGGGGCCCTCCTGTGTTGACTAAGAGGCTCTCTTGTTTCGGCTTCAGGGTCGCTCTATAACAGAGCCCCCAGTGTGACCCTTGTGGTTGCCATGGCGCTCGCCGGACACCTTTCCTGTGTCCTCCAAGTGTTTGTCGATTGTGGGCCGAGCCAGGTGTGGCTTTTGCCCAGCCAGGCTCCTGATTGGCCATTGGAGAGTTGATCAGCTATGCAGATTTTTAAAATTTACTTATTTATTTATTTATTTATTTATTTATTTTATGACATTTATACCCCGCCCTCCCCGCGAACGGGCTCAGGGCGGCTCACATAAGGCACCAGGTGCATTCGGTATACAAATTACAAATATAAATACAAGATTAAAACAATTTAAAATCAGTTCTACAGATGCATAAATAGGCTCCTAACATCTTGTGCACAGTGGGGAAGACTGGGGTGATGGAAGATGTTACCCCACCCGCCCAGTGGTCTCTCCCAATAAAGAAGCGGTGGTGGCAGTGGCCGTGGCGGCTCCTACTCATAAGCCTGGCGGAAGAGCTCCGTCTTGCAGGCCCTGCGGGACTGCATAAATGTTGCTTTAGCAGCAGTCGCCAGCACAGTACAAGGGACAAAAGAATCCCAACCGCAAGTATAGGCTAAAGGGGTCTGAACTTGCTGAGACTGAACTTGCTGAGACTGAACTTGCTGAGACTGAACTTGCTGAGACTGAGAGAGATCTTGGGGTCGTGGTGGATAGCTCAATGAGCGTGTCGACCCAGTGTGCTGCAGCGGCGAAAAAGGCAAACGCTCTGTTAGGGATTACTAGGAAAGGGATTGAGAATAAAACGGCCGATATTGTAATGCCCCTGTGTAGATCTATGGTGTGGCCTCATTTGGAATCCTGTGTCCAGTTCTGGTCACTGTATCTCAAAAAGGACATTGCAGAGCTGGGGAAAAGGTCAGAGGAGGGTGACCAAGATGATTGGGGGGGGGGGGGTTGGAGCACCTTCCCTGTGAGGAAAGGCTGAAGAGTCAGGGACTTTTCCGTTTAGAAAAGAGATGACTGAGGTGGGGGGGACATGATAGAGGTTTAAAAATATTACGCTTAGGAAGGAGAGAGTTGATAAACAATTTTTTCTCTCTCTCCCAAAGTACTAGAACTGAAGGGTATCCAGTGAAGCTGATGGGCAGTAGGTTCAGGACAGTAGAAAGGAAATACTACTTTACACAGAGAGTGATTAAAATGTGGAATTCACAGCCAGAGGACGTAGTGATGGCCACAGGAATAAACAGCTTTAAAAGGGAATTAGATAGATTCCTGGAGGAGAAGTCTATCAAGGGCTGCTAGCCATGGCAACTGAGGGGAAACCTCCACATTTAGAGGCACCAATCCTCTGAATCCCAGAGCCCGGAGGCAACATCAGGGGTAGTCCTTGGCCTCTGTTTCCTGGTCCAAAGGAACTGTTTGACCACTGTGAGAGACAGGATGCTGGACTAGATGGACCATTGGTCTGATCCAGCAGGGCTCTTCTTGTGTTCTTATGACAAGGCGTGGGCAATGCCTGGTTGAAATCTCGGTCAGAATGGGCAAATGAATATGAACCGCTATGGGTTACCAGCTGTCCGGGAGAATTCCCAGTTCTGAATCATCTTTTATTCTGCTTGAGTGGGAGATGGATTTTTCTGTTATTTTTTTTTTTAGAACACTGGAGCTGTTGAAAAGGTGCTTGTGCCTTTCCCTAAGGAAGAACGTCCTCTGGGGGATTTGGAAGTCATGCCGGGCATTGGTGCGAACGAAGCATCTTTGGGTAAGGATCCTCTCCCTGTTCGATGGAGCTTTGTTGTGAATTTCAAAAAAAGAAGAAGTAATTTTGGGCTATGCGGCTTCAAGTTATGCAATTGTTGGGTTGTTGTATCACGCTCCAGGAACGCGGAGTGTGATTTTTACCAGGCGGACAATGAAGTCTCTTCTTCACGACATGAGAGAGGGAATTCGCTGCCACTGCTGTCTCGGGAAGGGGATGAGGAAGAGGCCTCACATGGACTTTTGGCCCTGATAACTATCTGGAACCTTCATGGTTTGAGGCAGTATACCTATGAGGAAAGGTTAAGGTGCTTAGGGCTCTTTAGCTTGGAGAAACGACGACTGAAAGGTGACATGATTGAGGTTTATAAGATTATGCGTGAGAAAGAGCAGGTAAGAGAAAGAGGTGCTTTTCTCCCTTTCTCACAATACAAGAACTCGTGGGCACTCCATGAAATTGCTGAGCGGTCGGGTTAGAACGGATAAAAGGAAGTACTTCTTCACCCAAAGAGTGATTAACACTTTGAATACACTGCCACAGGAAGTGGTGGTGGCTACAAGGATGGACGGCTTCAAAAGGGAATTAGATAAGCATATGGAGCAGAGGTCCATCAGTGACTATTAGCCACAAGGTATAGACAGGGACTCTGGGGCAAGTGATGCTCTGTCTTCTTGGTGCTTGGGGGGGGGTCAACAGTGGGAGGGCTTCTAATGTCCTGGCCCCACTGGTGGACCTCCTGATGGCACCTGGTATTTCTGGCCACTGTGTGATACAGAGTGTTGGACTGGATGGGCCATTGGCCTGATCCAACATGGGCATCTCTTATGTTCTTATGTACCTTGGAGTGTTAGAGAAGACTGCTGTCCTTCCTGCCCTGCTTGTGATGGGCTTCCCACGGGGATAAGGCTGGGCACTGTTGGAAACAGGTTGCTGGACTAGATAAGCTCTTGATCTTACTCAGCAGGACCCTTTCTTTGTTAAAAAAAAGGACATTTTAGAGCTGGACAAAGTACAGAGGAGGGCAACCAAGGTGACGAGAGGGTCGGCGCTTCTTCCCTATGAGGAAAAGCTGAAGACCAGTTTGGTGTAGTGGTTAAGAGTGGCAGATTCTAATCTGGAAAATGGGGGTTTGATTCCCCGCCCTTCCACATGTAGCCAGCTGGGGTGACCTTGGGTCAGTTAGTTTTCTCAGCGCTGTTCTTTCAAGACCAGTTCTCTCAGGGCTCTCTCAGCCCCACATACCTCACAGGGTGTCTGTTGTGGGGACAGGAAGGGAAGGAGATTGTAAGCCACTCTGAGATGCTGAGTGAAGTAAAGGTGAAGGTAAAGGTTCCCTTGCTCGAAAGCCAGTCGAATCCGACTCTAGGGTTGCGGTGCTCATCTCCGTTTCAAAGCCGAAGAGCCAGCGCTGTCTGAAGACGTTTCTGTGGTCATGTGGCCGGCATTACTAAACACCAAGGCGCACGGAACGCTGTGACCTTCCCACCGAAGTGGTCCCTATTTATCTACTTGCAATGTCTTGCTTGGAGCTGCGGTGGCTCAAGTGGTTAAGACGCTGAACTGCAGGCTGTAGTTCAGCAGTTCGAGACCCGAGTGTGCCGCATGATGGAGTGAGCTCCCATCTCTAGTTCCAGCTCCTGCCAACCTAGCAGTTCGAAAGCAAGAAATTGCAAGTAGATAAATAGGTACCACTTCGGTGGGAAGGTAACAGCGTTCCGTGCGCCTTGGTGTTTAGTCATGCTGGCCACATGACCACGGAAACGTCTTCGGACAGCGCTGGCTCTTCGGCTTTGAAACGGAGATGAGCACCGCAACCCTAGAGTCGGACTCGACTGGCTTTCGAGCAAGGGAACCTTTACCTTTACCTTTAATGTCTTGCTTTCGAACTGCTTAGGTTGGCAGGAGCTGAAACTAGAGACGGGAGCTCACTCCGTCATGCAGCCACTCGGGTCTCGAACTGCTGAACTACTAACCTTCCACCGCCTGCAGTTTAGCGTCTTAACCACTTGAGCCGCCGCTCAATAAATCCAATCTCCTCCTCCTCTTCCTCCTCCTCAGGAGGACATGATAGAGGTTTACAAAATTATGCATGGGGTGGAGAGAGTTGACAAAGAGAACTTTTTCTCCCTCTCCCATTGGAGTTGGCAGTTGAGAAGCAGCAGTTAGTTGTTGGAAGGAGAGCTAACCGGGAGTCTGTCAGCGAACTAAAGGAGCTCTGTAGCTCTGTGTGGAATGACCTGGTTTACTGAGTTCCTCAGAAGGAAGAGGACAGTGACCAGAGGGTTAAAAACTAAACACAATAGTGTCATACACCAATGATACATCACTCCTTAAGGGATCTGAGAAAAGTGGAGGAATTTCACATTACCCTTTTTAACCTGTTTTGAAGCCGTTTTTGATCCGTCATGGAGTAAACTGGTATAGGGCTGCCATTTCACACATGGCCTTCCCCTTCCGACAAAGAGCTGGATCTGAAGCGGTTTGCCATTTCAGACTGCACCGCTTTTCCCCCACCGTTTTTTGCCCGTGCGGGCGATCTCCGGCTTTTTTTTTTTTTTGGGAACGTTCGCTTTAGAGCGCTATTGCACTATAACAAAACACTCAAAGCATTCCAATGGGATTGATATAATGCTATTCCCTTATAGCGCTATAGCGCTATAAAGCAAACGTTTTTTAAAAAGCTGTAGATTGCCCGCGCTGGCACAAAACGGCGGGAAAAAGTGCATCGGAACCGGGAGAGGAAACTGAAGACTACTTGGAAGCAGTTGACAGGTAAAACGCTTCAGCCCCGTTTCCTAAACGGGACAGAAGCGTTTGTGTCTGAAATTACAAATATATTCCGGTAGGGAACCGGTTCTAAAATGGTTCTGTCTGAAATGACAGACCGGAAACCGTTTGTGAACCGTTCTTCTTCCGGATTATATCGTTTGTCTGAAATTCCTCGTGGTTTAGTGAGGACTGAGGAAACGGTCTGAGCCAAGTCAGAAAATTGGTTGGTGGCCAGTTGGACTGAAAAGGGGACCAGAGAAGTCAAAAGTTAACCACGAATCAGTGCAGTAGGGTGTGATCATCAGAGAGGGTAGTGAACTATTTAACATCTGTGTGACTGAGAAAAGGCAACAAGCATTCTGACTAAGTAAAGCCAAGTTCAGGAGTTCAGCCTCAAATAGAAACCAATTAACCTCCGTGTAAAACTTCAGTTCACCTGTTGTGTTGTCTGTAAATAAAGCCAGTTCAGTTTTAAAGTTAACAAGCCGTGGTGCCTATCTCTCTTTACTGGTGAACCAAATACACTTAGCAGTGATCCTGACAAATATCCCTGACCAAGAAGAAATCAAGCAAATACTTTTATAGATTTGTATAGAGGACTGGTCAGAAAAATTATAAGCAGCTCTCACCAGGCCCTTCACGCAGACCCTCACGGTACCGGGTGTATATAGAGGGGGAGCGTGTCATAGCATCCAATGGGCAATCGGTTCAGGACGGACCTTTCATTTGGGCATCTGCTTATGGGTCTATTCTCTCTTCTGTTCTTCCAACAGATTATATGCAGCCAGATGAATATGCAGATGCCAGCGAGCCGCTGGAAAGCTCCATGCAAGTGGAACATTCGCCAAAGATCTTCCAAAGGTGCACAACAGGGAATGCTTCCCGAGGCGAGGAAATGGGAGAATCCACTGGGCGTCAGCAGAGGCCAAGGAGGCAACAGAAGAACCACACCAGAACCAGGATGAGTAAACCAGTCTCTTGTAAGGACCACCTTCTACGGCATCAGCAAATCCACATGGCCCCAAAAACGCACAAATGCTCTTACTGTGGGAAAGCTTTCAGCAGCAGGTCGCACCTGGTTATTCACGAGAGAATCCACACAGGGGAAAAGCCCTACAACTGCTCTGCTTGCGGGAAGAATTTCAGCCGCAACTCTCACCTCATCGTACATCGAAGGACTCACACCGGGGAGAAGCCGTACAAGTGCGCTTACTGCGGCAAAACGTTCAGCCACAATTCCCTCCTGATCAAACACGAGAGGACCCACACCGGCGAGAAGCCCTACAAATGCTCCTACTGTGCAAAAAGCTTCAGGCAGAGGTCGTGCCTGACCATACACGAAAGGACGCACACGGGGGAGAAACCGTACAAGTGTTCAGTCTGCGGGAAGAGCTTCACGTGCAATTCGCACCTCGTCGAACACGGCCGGACCCACACGGGGGAGAAGCCGTACAAGTGCTCCGTTTGCGCAAAGAATTTTCGGTGCAATTCGCAGCTGGTTCGGCACCAGAGGACACACACGGGGGAGAAGCCCTACAAGTGCTCCGTCTGCGGGAAGGCCTCTAGTTACAAATCAGACCTGATCAGACATGAGCGGACTCACACGCGGGAAAAGCCGTATCGGTGCTCTGAGTGCGGATGGGGCTTCGTTTGGAAATCCCAACTTGTCAGCCATCAGAGAGTGCACAGTGAAGAGAAGCCTTGGCACAGGCCCCCGCTGGCTCTGGGGAAAGCTCTCGTCATAACTCACTTCTTATGAGTCACAGAAGAGCCAAGAGGAGCTGGGACTTCTGACATAATATCCACTTCGCAGCACTGGGCTCAGATGGGGGCCCCATGTGGTCTGCTGCAGCCACGGTGGGCAGTGGACGCACATTCTTGACTTTGATTTCACAATGGGGATTTTCCCGGTTGTTGGTGGTGGAAAATGCCACCAAGTCACACAACCAACTCATGGCAACCCATTACGGGGTTTTCTAGGCAAGCGATGAGCGGAAGTAGCTTCTGAGATCTGATGAGATCACGTTAGCCTGGCTCAGTGGTAGAGCCTCTGCCTGGCATGCAGAAGGTCCCAGGTCCCATCCCTGACATCTCCAGTGAAAAGGACCATGCGATTGGGGACGTGAAAGACCCCTGCCTGGGACCCTGGAGAGCTGCTGCCAGTCTGAGTAGACAGCACTGACTTTGGACCAGTGGTCTGATTCAGTATAAGGCAGCTTCATGTGTTCATCCAGGCCAGGTCATTTTTCTGTTTAGGTCCCCCCCCATTTCTTATCTTCTTCTGTCTGATTTCAGAGTGACCCACCAAAATCCAGTGCACACCCCACACACCCCACACCCGAAATCCGTGGTCACAGATTCACTGTTTAATCAAGGCAAAGTGGTAATAGAGAACAATGGCTTCTTTTTGAGAATTTGTTGAAGCTATTTGGAGAGGAATACATCTGTCCTGGATGCCAAAATCGTATGTATCAATCCTGCAGTTCTTTGGGGTGTTTCAGCTGGGGCTTGCAGGCATTATTTTTTGAACGGACCCCCCCAAGGGAGTAGGAGGCACAACCAGGGCTCTTTTTGTAGAAAAAGCCCAGCAGGAACTCATTAGCATAATAGGCCACACCCAACAGCAGGAACTCATTAGCGTATTAGGCCACACCCCTGACAGCACAGCTCATTCACACATTAGGCCGCACCCCCATGTTACCAGAAGTGTGGTCATCCAACCACACCCACCTTTTGCTTGTTATTCTGTTTACCTTGTTTGTGGTCAAAACCAGGGCTTTTTTTGTAGCAGGAACTCCTTTGCATGTTAGGTCACACACCCCTAATGTAGCCAATCCTAATGAGTTTCTGCTGTTGGGTGTGGCCTATTATGCTAATGAGTTCCTGCTGGGCGTGGCCAACTTGGGAGCCAGCCGGAACTCCGTTCCTGTGCGTTCCTGCCCAAAAATAGCCCTGGGCACAATTACTTTTGTGTAAGCATCCATGAAACACATAGCAACAGCAGAACGATGGAGACTTTCTCAGATAACTTACGAATGCAAGTTGGGGGGGGATGGTCACAGATTCTGTGATCCAGTGGAAAGGGACATCAATTTGCAACTGACTCATGGTGACCTAGTGGGGTTTTCAAGGCAAGAGATGAACAGAGGTGGTTCTGAGTAGCAACACCCAACTTCCTTGATGGTCTCCCCTCCAAATACTAATATTAATTATTATTATTATTATCACATGGCATTATATGTAGTGTAGCCAGGAGATCCTAAGATTGTCTGGCAGCTGGACGTTCTAGCTACTTTAGCATTATGCGCCACTAGGTGGCGAGCTAGATGTGTTTTTTGGGCTGAGAGAGTTCTGAGAGAACTGTGACTGACCCAATGTCACCCCGCTGGCTTCACATGGAAGAATGGGGAATCAACTCCGGTTCTCCAGATTAGCGTCCGCCACTCTTAACCACTACACCAAGTTGGCTTTCCATCCAAATACTAACCAGATCCGACTCTGCTTAGCTTCCAAGGTCTTAAGAGATTCGGCTAGCCTGGGCTAGCAAAGGAACAGAATTGTTCTTCAGTCGCACAGACAAGTATGCTGGCTTTTGTGTAATTGCACGTAAATTTGTGTCGAACTGGACATACATTTCCTAATTGGCGGCTGACCAAAACAATATGGAATCCAGACAGCCGAGATGTAGATTAAAGAACATGTGACGATTGGATTTTCACAATTTTTATTGGTATAGCAATTAAAAGCTTTAGAAGTTCAAATAAATGCTCCACATCACCGGGGGGTGGGGGGGTGGGAGGTCAAACAATCTTAGCTAGACGGTTGCCCCTTTGTTGTTGTTCAGTCGCTCAGTCAAGTCCGACTCTTTGCGACCCCATGGACCAGATCACGCCAGGCCTTCCGGTCTTCCACCGTCCTCTGAAGTTTGCTCAACTTCATGTTCGTTGCACCAATGACACTGTCTAACCATCTCATCCTTTGCCGTCCCCGTCTTCTTAGACCTTCAATCTTTCCCAGCATCAGGGTTGCCCCTACCATGGTGTAGTTAACTGCTTAATTAATCCTTCGGTTCCATGATTTGGCACAATTAAATTACCTGTCTCAATTCAGCCATCATACTGAACCATGGTTTCATTCAGCTAACTACAGTTAGGTTGGCTGAACATGGGCCACTAACTACAGTTAGGTACCATCAAACCAGAATCTTAAACCATGATTTGAAATTGGCCTTAACTATGGCTTTTTGTGGCATGTGAATATGGGCGTTCCAGCTTCCTCCTGGCTGGCTCTCCAATGCTGTCTTCCCCATTGACATCAGGAAGGTGAACGAATCCAACATCCTTTGAGACAAACCAGGATCTGACAGATCATCTGCAAGCTGAATTCTGGTTTCCCACACAAACCCCAGTAAAAATAAACCAATGTTGAAAGTAGTCAAAATAAACCATAGGTTGACCTTACATCTAAACAGAGCCTGTAAATTTTGAAGCACAGTCTGTGCTCTGAAACTAATCTCCTCTGAACCAGACTTTGCTCTGTTACAAGCCATGCATGGGCCGTATTCTGCTCGACTGTAGCTATCTCTTAACAATCCTGTTTCATAATCTGAAAATGCCCCTTGAGCAATGTTCCCTCTAAGCTGTGGAGTCTTGTGAGCAAAAATTCTACTTTGTGAGCTACTGGCATTAAAGTTGTGAGTGAGCAATTTGGCTACTGCATAAATTAGTTTGCTGTGGAGCCATCCTTCCTGAGCCAAGACAAAAATATGTGAGCCAGAGGCTAAAAAACTGAGCTAGCTCACACTAACTCAGCTTAGCGGGAACACTGCCCTTGAGTGTCTCGGATTTGCTTTAATTTGTACCTGATATTTTTCTAAATAAACCACTTCCTTGTTTAAGATTTTCGTTTGTTTTGCACTGGAGATTTGGAATCTCCAGCCTAAGAAATGAGAAGACACATACTACTTCAGTATGAAGTAAAAAGTGAGAAGTATGAAGAGATTGTGGGTTTTAGCCACGGTGTGACACAGAATGTTGGACTGGAAAGGCCATTATGTTCTTATGTCTGGGGTAGGGATGCTCTGTATTCTTGGTGCTTGGGGGGCAACAGGGGGAGGGCTTCTGGAATTCTGGCCCAGCTGGTGGGCCTCCTGATGGCACCTGGGTTTTGGCCACTGTGTGACACAGAGTGTTGGACTGTATGGGCCATTGGCCTGATCCAACATGGCTTCTCTTATGTTCTTATAGTCTTATGAGTTCATATCAAGTTTAGCGTTTTTGTCATAAACAAAAATGTGGGAAAGCAGTAGCAGCTGCCATGAGTGAGTTCCAAGATTGAAGCTGATTTTCTGACGTTCTCTTTTAAAAGCCACTGTAGGGTTGGGAGTATTTGTGTAAATTCTGGATTTCTAACTTCTTAAAGACTATCAGATTTAAGATGCATAAAGCTTCATGGAATAGAGCCATTTTTGCTGTTTAGCTGTCTACTCCAGACTATTGAGTACTTCTCCAAGACTACACAGTCTCAAATGATTCAAAGGATTAGTGCCTCTGAATGTGGAGGTTCCCTTCAGTCACCGTGGCTATTAGCCATTGATAGACATATCCTCCATGAATCTCATCCCCTTTTAAAGCTGTTTATTCCTATGACCATCACTATTTCTTCTGGCAGCGATGCCACATTTTAATCACTGTCCACGTAAAATAGTATTTCCTTTTGTCCGTCCTGAAAAGGGCTGATATGTTGTAGTGGTTTAAGTGTAGGACTAGGAGCTATGACGGCCAGGTTTAAATCCCTCACTCAACCATGGGAGCCTGCGAGTCTGAGAAAGAGGGACCCAGATTTGATGGCAAAATCAGTCTAAAGTGAACTTTACATTACAAGAAAAGGAGATTGGATTTATACCCGCCCTTCACTTGAGTCTCAGAGCGGTTTACAAACTCCTTTCCCTTCCCCTCCCCACAACAGACACCCTGTGAGGTGGGTGGGGCTGAGAGAGCTCTGACAGAAACTGCTCTTTTTCAAGAACACCTCTGACAGAGCTATGGCTTGCCCAAGGTCATCCAGCAGCTGCAAGTGGAGGAGCGGGGAATCAAACCCAGTTCTCTCAGAATAGAGTCTGCACACTTAACCACTACACCACTATAATTACCCCTGGTTTCAACTAATTTATGGTGGAGGGGGGAAATCCCCCAAATCCCCCTGGGGCTTTAGACAGCGGTCAGTTAACAGGCTAAGTATTTGGATGAAGGAGGAGGAAAAATTAGATGTGACATTTTTATCATTTTGTATGTGATATTTCTCCTGAAATGGGATCTTGGTTTTTTTTTCAAAATGGCACCAGGCAGTCCAGTATCTGTTCCATCATAGTGAGGCATAGCTAAAATAACCTAGGCTCATTTCTACAGCAAAGTACTCAACAGCAAAAACAGGAATGTTGGCATTTATCATGCAAGACAACACTTTTTTTTTTTTTAAGGAATCTTTATGCAGAGAGGAAACAATTGTATAATTCCGCAGCATGACTTCCCTGTAAACACCTCTGCTGCGGTGGAATACACGGCCACTTCCTCAAAGGTCACTGGGCCCTAAAAGAAACAGGTCTTCTTTGCTCACAAACAATGTCTCTTGGGTGAATCCCAGTTTGAAAAGGAAATGGAAGTGGATAAACACAGCGTGCAGAATCAAGAAGAAGAAGAAGAGATTGGATTTATACCCCGCCCTTCACTCGGAGTCTCAGAGCGGCTTACAAACTCCTTT